TCTCCCATCACCTTGATCCTGTTATCAGGAATTAAGAGACAGGGCTGGTGGGAGAAGAACCCATCACTAAATGACCCTCCTGCAAAAGCCTGAGTACTGGAGACCACCTACATCTGGCTGTGATCCCAAGTCTGAAGGTTCTTCTCTCCCAAAGGACAGCTTAGCTCCTCGACTCTCTGATTTCTGTGGTGTCCAGAATTCTCTGGAGTTGCTGTTCTGGCTCAGTCCCTTATCGTGCAAGATGAGAGAAGAAAGGAGGGAAGGAAAGTCTCAGCCTCCTCTTGAGGGTTCCTTACCTTTCTTGTTTCTCTTATGCATGAATACGCCAACTCCAAGGATGATGAACCCCAGCACAAATCCCCCAATTCCAGTCATCATTTTGCTTTGCGCAGAATCAGACTGTGCCTCTGGGAAGAACAGATTCCAGGGTCAGTCTTATCTCCATCTGAATATTCCCCTCTGGTCCTGTCTGAGATTTTGGAGTCTGATGGAGAATATGGGCATGAAGACAGTGAGAGGGATACACTTTGGAGAAGAAGTAAATTTAGAAAGGACCTTTAAATACTGGAGGTTGGGATGGTGACTTCATCAAAGGGACAAATACTGATAGTGGTAGCTGCCTCTTGAAATAACTCAGGATAGCCTAAAAGGCTGAGGGAAGAGAGCCATTCAGGAAGGTGTTTGAGTTCCCTATATTTTCTGATAAGGGAGAAGAAGCGCTAATCCTCAGTATCCCCTAGGTCAGGTCACTGCCCCCAGCTCAGAACCAGTCAGTGGTTTGTACAGAAGAAACACCAGGCATCTGTGACTCAGTGTATAGACACACAAGACAGCATGAGGGGACCCCAGAGTCAGAGCATCCCCTGCTCGGCAGAGTGTGGGGTCCAGCAGGGTCATCAGGGAGTCACTCACTCCACTCCACGGTGACAGGACTGTCCAGGCTGGAATGCTCCACATGGCAGGTGTAGACATCCCCCTGATGGGGGATCATTTCCAGCATCACCAGGATTTGGAAGGTCCAGTCTCCATTACGGATCAGGTCAGTGGACACAACCCCAGCTGTTTCCTCCTGTCCATCCCGGAACCACTGGACTTGAATGCCTCCTGGATAGAAATCTGTCACGTGGCAGACAAGCAGGTTGTGGTGCTCCAGGGGTCCCTTCTTGGCGGGGGAGACATTCACTCTAGGCTGGACTATAAGCATGGAATAGAAAAAAAGGTACCAAGATGGCATTTGAGATTACTTCTTAGGCACATTCATGATGGAATTTATTTCTAGATATTTACAATATAAATGACATAATGAGGGTAGTAGATAATGGTAGTACTAAAAAGATAGAAATAGACCTTCAAAAGGAATCTGCATGACTGTGAACTACATAATAGATTGAGAAGAACAGAAGAGAGACAAAGTCAGCAGCACTCTGTGTCTGACTTAGCAAAAATTTTAACTAAAAGCCATTAACTAATAGCCTTCTGACAAAGAATGTTTAATTTCCTATGAAAGTACCTATCATTTCAGTGTTCCATCTTTTTTTTTTTT